CTAGCAGCAATTGCTGAGGCATCGCTTGAGAAGACTTGAGACATGTTTGCAAAATGTAAAACAAGACTTTAGAGAAACTAAAGAAAATGTAACTGAGGAACACACGACACAGTGAACTTAAATGGGAAGAAAATGCTTAACTATTCTGCATAAGTAATTAAAAATTGACAGATCACACTGTAAGCAAGGCAACTCACACAAGAAAGTGCTCAACTGAATAAACAATACTTTGAAAATCAAGAGAACTTGTAATTTACTCAAATCTAATTTACTCAAATTTGCTTTAAATTGGATTAATGGCAAAGTGAGTTGTCTTTACTCTCAATGCAAAAGGGAAATTCAACAATAAAATGATGAATCAATCTAAAGAATGTTAAAATGGACTCAATAAATCTTGTGCAAAATAAAACAAACTGGGAAACAATTCACTAAAAGAAAAGAAAATGGCACACAAAGAATAAAATATTATGCACAGAACAGAGCATAAAAACTGCAATGAAATAAACTGTAGCAATACTGTAAATAACAATTGCTAATCAAAATTACTGCACACACTACTTAAAATTTCTGCAAGGAAAATTTTAATTGGTAACACAATGTTTGCACAAGAATTATTGCAAAATGAGTCAAAAGCTGGCGACAGTCGTGCTGGTCGAAAGAAATCTCTGTACATCGGAGTAATTATCAATTTTACGCCCACACCGCTGCCATCAAATTGTCGTGTGGGGTTCGGGAGGAGATACGAGGGTTGGATGGTAACACTATTGTCAGACTGATGAGAGGTGGGAGCCCAGACCTGCCCTGTTCTGCCTTGCTTGTGGGTGGTCCGTCGAGTGAGACCGAGGTAGCTCGTCTCACTGCCTCAAGCTGTACCCAGTGACGTCATACTGTCACAGGCCTAAGGGATCTTCTATATAAACACATGGATGGTACTATGATACTCAGCTAATCTATATAACACATATAAGGGGATCGGCAACTATGCTGACACAATCTTCAACACATCCCTTGAAAATGAGCAGCTACCTGAGGTATGTAAGACGGCAAATGTAGTTCCAGTTTTTAAAAAAGGAGACACAAAAGAGGCACTTAACTATAGACCAGTGTCACTGACGTGTATAGTATGCAAAGTTATGCAGATTATTAGTAGGAGAGTGGTGGAGCACCTGAAATGAAACAATAGCATAAACCCCAACCAGCATGGATTCACGGAAGGCAAATCCAGTGTCACAAACCTACTGGAGTTTTATGATAAAGTAACAGAAGTAAGACACGAGAGGGACGGGTGCATTGATTGCATTTTCTTGGACTGCAAGAAGGCCCCCGACAGTTCCTCACTAGAGATTAGTCCAAAAGCTAGAGGATCAGGCGCATATAACAGGAAGGGCACTGAAATGGATCAGAGAATACCTGAAAGGGAGGGAATATCGAGACATGGTACTTGATGAGGTATCACAGTGGGCACCTGTGACGAGTGGGGGTCCCACAGGGGTCGGTCCAAGGACCAGTGCTATTTTTGGTATATGTGAACGACATGATGGAAGGGATAGACTCAGAAGTGTCCCTGCTCGCAGATGATGTGAAGTTAAAGAGGAGAATTAAATCAGATGAGGATCAGGCAGGACTTCAAAGAGACCTGGACAGGCTGGACACGTGGTCCAGCAACTGGCTTCTCGAATTTAACCTCGCCAAATGCAAAGTAATGAAGATCGGGGAAGGGCAAATAAGACCGCAGACAGTGTATAGGCTAGGTGGCCAAAAACTGCAAACCTCGCTCAAAGAGAAAGATCTTTGGGTGAGTATAACACCGAGCACGTCTCCGGAAGCACACATTAACCAGATAACTGCTGCAGCGTATGAGCGCCTGGCAAACCTGAGAATATCGTTCCGATACCTTAGTATGGAATCGTTCAAGACACTGTACACCGTGTACGTCAGGCCCATACTGGAGTATGCAGCACTAGTTTGAAACCCACACTTGATCAAGCACGTCAAGAAGTTAGAGAAAGTGCAAAGGTTTGCAACAAGGCTAGTTCCAGAGCTAAGGGGAATGTCCTGCGAAGAATGGTTGAGGGAAATCGGACTGACGACATGGAGGACAGGAGGGTCAGGGGAGACATGATAACGACATACAAAATACTGCGTGGAATAGATACGGTAGACAGGTTGTTCCAGAGAGGGGACACAGAAACAAGGGGTCACAATTGGAAGCTGAAGACTCAGGCGAGTCAGACTTATGTTAGGAAGTATTTCTTCATCCATAGAGTCGTCAGGAAGTGGAATAGTCTAACAAGTGATGTAGTGGAGGCAGGAACCATACATAGCTTTAGGACGAGGTATGACAAAGCCCTGGAAGCAGAGAGAGAGAAAGACCTAGTAGAGATCAGTGAAGAGGCGGAGCCAGGAGCTGGGTCTCGGCCCCTTCAACCACAATTAGGTGAGTTCAGTTAGGTGAGTACATACACATACACACACACACACACATACACACACATACATATGCACACACACTCAGAAACACACACACACACACACACATACACACACACACACACAACACACACACACACACACACACACACACACACACACACACACACACACACACACACACACACTCGACCCCTGCAACCACACAAAGTTGAGTACATACACATAGCTCCTGTCTGGGCTGAGAGCTATGAATCTACCCCTGCAATTAGGTGAGTACACAATGAGTACACAAGTGAGTACACAAGTGAATATACAAATGAGTACACAAGTGAGCATACAAGTGAGTATACGAGTACACAAGTGAGCATACGAGTACACAAGTGAGCATACAAGTGAGTATACGAGTACACAAGTGAGTATACAAGTGAGTATGTGAGTACACAAGTGAGTACACAAGTATGTGAGTACACAAGTGAGTACACAAGTGAGTACACAATTGAGTACACAAGTATACAAGTGAGTATAAAAGTGAGTATACAAGTGAGTATACAAGTGAGTATACAAGTGAGTATACAAGTGAATATACGAGTACACAAGTGAGCATAAGAGTACACAAGTCAGCATACAAGTGAGTACACAAGAGAGTATACAAGTGAGTATACAAGTGAGTATACAAATGAGTATACAAGTGAGTACACAAGTGAGTACACAAGTGAGTACACAAGTGAGTACACAATTGAGTACACAAGTATACAAGTGAGTATAAAAGTGAGTATACAAGTGAGTATGCAAGTGAGTACAAGAGTTCACAAGTGAGTGCACAAGTGAGTATACAAGTGAGTACACAATTGAGTACACAAGTATACAAGTGAGTATAAAAGTGAGTATACAAGTGAGTATGCAAGTGAGTACAAGAGTTCACAAGTGAGTGCACAAGTGAGTATACAAGTGAGTACACGAGTACACAAGTGAGTACACAAGTTAGTGTACAAATGAGTATACAAGTGAGTGCACAAGTGAGTACACAAGTGAGTACACAAGTGAGTACACAAGTGAGTGTACAAGTGAGTGTACAAGTGTACAAGTGAGTACACGAGTATACAAGTGAGTATACAAGTGAATATACAAGTGAGCATACAATTGAGCACACAAGTGAGTACACAAGTGAGTACACAAGTGAGTACACAAGTGAGTACACAAGTGAGTACACAAGCGAGTATACGAGTACCCAAGTGAGTACCCAAGTGAGTACACAAGTGAGTACACAAGTGAGTACACAAGTGAGTACACAAGTGAGTACGCAAGGGAGTACACAAGTGAGTATACAAGTGAGTACACAAGTGAGTACACAAGTGAGTACACAAGTGAGTACACAATTGAGTACACAAGTATACAAGTGAGTATAAAAGTGAGTATACAAGTGAGTATGCAAGTGAGTACAAGAGTTCACAAGTGAGTGCACAAGTGAGTATACAAGTGAGTATACAAGTGAGTACACGAGTACACAAGTGAGTACACAAGTGAGTACACAAGTGAGTACACAAGCGAGTATACGAGTACCCAAGTGAGTACCCAAGTGAGTACACAAGTGAGTACACAAGTGAGTACACAAGTGAGTACACAAGTGAGTACGCAAGGGAGTACACAAGTGAGTATACAAGTGAGTATACAAGTGAGTATACAAATGAGTATACAAGTGAGTATACAAGTGAGTATACTAGTGAGTACACAAGTGAGTACACAAGTGAGTACACAATTGAGTACACGAGTACACAAGTGAGTACACAAGTGAGTACACAAGTGAGTATACAAGTGAGTATACAAGTGAGTATACAAGTGAGTATACAAATGAGTACACAAGTGAGTATACGAGTACACAAGTGAGTATACGAGTACACAAGTGAGTACACAAGTGAGTATACAAGTGAGTATACAAGTGAGTATACAAGTGAGTATACAAGTGAGTATACAAGTGAGTACACGAGTATACAAGTGAGTATACAAGTGAGTATAAGAGTACACAAGTGAGTACACAAGTGAGTACACAAGTGAGTAAACAAGTGAGTATACAAGTGAGTACACAAGTGAGTACACAAGTGAGTATACAAGTGAGTACACAAGTGAGTACACAAGTGAGTATACAAGTGAGTATACAAGTGAGTATACAAGTGAGTATACAAGTGAGTATACAAGTGAGTATACAAGTGAGTATGTAAGTGAGTATACAAGTGAGTATACAAGTGAGTATACAAAAAAATACAGTTTCTCATAACATCTTTATTTCATTTTTGACACCTTCGTTACATTTTTAACACCTTCGTAACATTTTTAACACCTTTCTAACATTTTTAACACCTTCAAAACGAAGACTTAACATTTTTAACACCTTCATAACGAAGACGTAACATTTTTAACACCTTCATAACGAAGACTTAACATTTTTAACACCTTCATAACGAAGACTTAACATTTTTAACACCTTCAAAACGAAGATTTAACATTTTACACATGAGGACATAACAGTAAAAATGAGAACTTGGTCTTTGTATGAGGTGTCATTGTTATTAATTTTGGTAACTTAAGTTCTTGTTCCTACAGGATTAAGGGAGTTATTCACTCTTATTAAAAAAAAAATTCTAATATAATATATATATTAAAGGAAACGTTTCGCCTTGTCGTGAACTGTACATAAGTGTGTTTTTCCACATGTTATCGGTTATCACCATTAACTCACTGATGCTGTGGCTGAGCAATACGATAAATGTGCCACAGCAGCCACGTGAGTTTAAAAGTAAAGCTTAATCCATCAAATATTGCTCTCCTCTCTAAAGGCAGTTATCGTTTGTTATCACTTAACAATGCCAGTGAATCAAACTGAGTTCTGAGCTTTATTTTTGTCTAGACTTTTGTGAACAGGAATATGAAGTACAAGAAATATCGCGCTAGATGAACCATGACAACACCAGTCAGACCAGTTACAAAAATGAGTCATAAAAGTGGCTAACGCGACGGTCTGCAGTTTTGTGACTCTCTGATCGCGGGTTCTAACCCCTCCCGTGGTATGGTTTGGTTCAGTTAGAGTAAGCCTTTATTAAAACGCCGTTTCTCCTAGTATGAGCTTCAACAAGTTACAATGAACGACACGTTGATTTAATAAATCCTTGCTGTGTGACTCACTGCTTGTTTTTAATAGAATTATCAATTTTTTTTAGAAAAATTAGGTATGTTTGGCAATATTATTCTGCGTAAATTTTAGAAAGGTTCAGCTGCATTTTAAAAATTACTTTCGTTGACTAATGTAAACATGGCAAATCGATACAAAAAATGCACATAACTAATTAACTTGGGAAAAGTATTCACGTATTGTCTTCATTGTCTTCACTAGCACCAACCATCTTAACTTCATCAACTTGACTCTACGGATGCTTCTCAATAATTGCCAATACTCCCTTATTTTTTTTTTATCACAGATTAAGCATTAGTAAGTGAACAATTTTGCCTCTGACGTAACTTAATCCAAAGAAAGGAAAACGAATATAATATGACGAACAAATAGCAGATAATGTGAAAGGCCAGCCAATATAACAAAAATTCTTAGGTGAATATCAACTAAAATTCAAGACAACTACAGCAGAATTTAGTCCAATGACTTGTATATGAAGCATAAGATACATTTCATTGACAGACGGTGTTAGTAAGCTTCCTGATTTTTTATTCTGGTGATGCTGAGAGAGAGAAGGTCGCTGTATGGGCAGGCAAATGGAGTAACTAAGTATAGGGCCTAACCACCTCATTCTGGAAGATTATGATTATTATTATTATTATTATCATAAAGAAGCGCTAAACCACAAGGGCTATACAGCGCTGTCAGTCTGGAAAAGCTGCCTCAATAGTTTTGTTGTGACCGCTTGTAAGGCAGAGGTGGGGCCACAGGAAGGACGGCGCCCTGGGGCTTGTAACCCCCGTGGTCAGCCACGAAGCTGATATCGACAGGTACACCATCAGGGGACGTGTATCTGTGGAAGTAAGTTTCCTTGTTATATTTTGCACTACATAGTCATGCTGTGAGCCATAGTCTAAATTTTACGAAGTAACATGATGGCTTCAAGAACAGGACCTTAATGTTCTGTATGTTCAGAAAGTTACTGCAAAAAAAGTGAACTGTGAAATCCCAGAGAAACTTCGTTAAAAGGCTTAGGAATATACAAGCTATTTTCTTTTAGCTGCAAATGCATACTTGATATATCCTGATCTGCAGAGTGCATCTTCAAAATGAAGATATTGTACAGAAGGAACCATATAGTGCACACACTGTACTCAACCCAAAAGGCAGAGTACATGATGTGCTCTCAGTTCTAGTGTAAATTATGTACTCTCCTTTTCCTTGCAATGTGCCTAATGCACTTACGTCCAGAGTGTAGTGTACATCCTGTTCACCACCACAATGTATTATAGACAATGTACTCATCTCAGTCTTGTCGTATGCTTTATGTACTCACATTCATCATGCAGTGTGCACAATGTACTCATTCTCATTGAACTCACCTCCAGCTAGTAGTATACACAATGTATTAAGGAACACATTTTCTAGCCTCACCGAGGAGTGTACAAAATGTGCTCACATCGATATAGTGCACAATATGTACTAACTGATATCATGCTGTAAACCCCACGTATTTATCTCCACCCTACACTGTACACAGATCAACAATGTAAATATATATTTTCCCTACGCAGTGAACATAGGTACTAACCTCCAGCCACCTTTGGAGACTTGACCGTCGTTCTGGCTGCCGTACTCCTGCCGTGTGATGCCGTCGCTGGTCTGGTACTGAAAGTTATACTCGCCGTAGCCGTTCTGTGTCCTCTCGTCCTTCAAGATGTCAGCCCCGTTGAAGGACTGACCAGACTGACCGTAGGTGGGGCGAGGGTTGCCAGCTGTCATGGCAAGAGCCACAGCCAACACCTGAGGGGGTAAACAAGTTATTAGTCTACAAATAGGCAGTCCATTAACTTTGGAAGTATGTATTAGGCCCACACGGCGAAATATGTTCAGCTGTCCGAACCTACCTTAACCTTTCCAGTGATAACGAACTATAATGTAACTGAAACTAACCCAGCCTATCTCGGCCCAACCTACATTTCGTTATAATTATTAAACATAATTATAATATTTAGCTTTCGATATGTTAGACAGATTTCCGTTGGGATATTGTATGCAGTTTACACAAGGCTCGTTTGGCAAAACGATCATTGCTTCACAAACTAAGATCATAAAATGAACTTAAAAAGCGCGTTAGGAACATTATAAACAATAGCCTTATAAGATGTTTTCACAGATAATCAACAAATTTGAGACGAAAGTTTAGATACCATTTCGGTCCGTCTGGACCATTTTACCAAGCACAAACTTGATGAAAGTCCAGGACAGACCGAAACATCGTCTTAAGATTCATCTCTTAATTGCAGATTATTTATGAGTCAGAACAGGAGGAAAACTGTAACTTTAATTCTTCTAAGCTGAAAACCTAACAACACTCACGACAAGGAAGAGATAAGCGGCCATGGTGTCTGGTGTAGAACAGTGAGTGTGGCTAGCAGCGACCACACACATTATATACCTCGCTCACACACTGACAGCCACACTCACTCTTCTCATGCATGATGGCAATCATTAGGTTTTGCTCGTGTCAAGTTAAGCGCCGTAGCGGCCACTTTCCCAGGGATGGAGTAACGACGGATGTGTCGCGCTCTGCATCTTCCACGCGGGGCGGCAGACGCATTCTTACACCAGGTGAATGTGGCGCTCCAATAGTCGCATCAGGTGAACTGTGCACTCTTATTGTAACACCAGGTGAACAGTGCACTCTTATTGTAACACCAGGTGAACAGTGCACTCTTATTGTAACACCAGGTGAACAGTGCACTCTTATTGTAACACCAGGTGAACAGTGCACTCTTATTGTAACAGTGACTGGCCTCAACATGTTAATAACAATTTAAGAAAACACAACTTCTGCTCAAGCTTTCGGTCAGTTATGTCACCTCTAAAAAAGTCAATAATATAGAAGTTGCAAAAGGTTTTTGTAACATGGAAAAATCTACTGTTTTATCCACTGATAAAATTAATATAAATAAGAAGACGGTTTGTTGTTCAATTATGAAAAAAAAGAATTATACCAATTACCCTCAAAGATTTTTTAAGTCCTATGAAAATCTTATTAAAATTAAAAATTTGCACACTACTAAAGCAGACAAAATAAATGCATTAGTAATTTTAAAAGAAATTGATTACCAAATTACAATGAATAATGTCTTAAATGATACTGATAATTATTCCAAACTTAAAAAAAAATCCCTTAGATTTAGTTAACAGTAACTTTAATAAATCAATTAAAAGACTTCTGAAAGGCAAAGATGAACTAAATTAAAAAGTCCCTGACCACCACTCCATCTTAACCATACATATGTGGACTAATGACAACACATAAGCCAGGTAATCCAACCAGACTTATTATTAGCTTCATAGGTTCAGTTTCCTACAAATTATCCAAATGGATAGTGGTTATGTTAAGTTGAATTGTTTTAAAAATTTCTTACTTTAATGCTAAAAATAATATTGATTAAGTTGATAAATTTATCACTATGACTGATTTACATAATTACAATTTGGTTAGTTTTGATGTCGCATCTTTGTTTACCGAAGTTCCAGTTCACGATTTATGTTTCTGATCTGAAGAACTAAGTAGTTACGATTTACCATTGCCAGTACGTACAATCATTGATGAAAAGTTTGTGTTTAATGGTAAGTTTGGTTTGGCACTCAGAAACCTTCTCTGACCTGTCCTTAGTAATTTGTACATAGAAGATTTTGAAACTAGACTGCTTAACAAAATTCTTCCCGACATAGCTAAGTGGTACAGATATGCTGATGTTTTATGGCTAATGACAAAGAATGTATATATATATATATATATATTATATATATATATATATATATATATATTATATATATATATATATATATATATATATATATATTATATATATATAATATATATATATATATTATTTTTTTTTTTTTTATTATCACACCGGCCGATTCCCACCAAGGCAGGGTGGCCCGAAAAAAAAAACTTTCACCATCATTCACTCCATCACTGTCTTGCCAGAAGGGTGCTTTTACACTACAGTTTTTAAACTGCAACATTAAACACCCTCCTTCAGAGTGCAGGCACTGTACTTCCCATCTCCAGGACTCAAGTCCGGCCTGCCGGTTTCCCTGAATCCCTTCATAAATGTTACTTTGCTCACACTCCAACAGCACGTCAAGTATTAAAAAACCATTTGTCTCCATTCACTCCTATCAAACACGCTCACGCATGCCTGCTGGAAGTCCAAGCCCCTCGCACACAAAACCTCCTTTACCCCCTCCCTCCAACCCTTCCTAGGCCGACCCCTACCCCGCCTTCCTTCCACTACAGACTGATACACTCTTGAAGTCATTCTGTTTCGCTCCATTCTCTCTACATGTCCGAACCACCTCAACACCCTTCCTCAGCCCTCTGGACAACAGTTTTGGTAATCCCGCACCTCCTCCTATACTTCCAAACTACGAATTCTCTGCATTATATTCACACCACACATTGCCCCTCAGATATGACATCTCCACTGCCTCCAGCCTTCTCCTCGCTGCAACATTCATCACCCACGCTTCACACCCATATAAGAGCGTTGGTAAAACTATACTCTCATACATTCCCCTCTTTGCCTCCAAGGGACAAAGTTCTTTGTCTCCACAGACTCCTAAGTGCACCACTCACTCTTTTTCCTCATCAATTCTATGATTCACCTCATCTTTCATAGACCCATCGCTGACACGTCCACTCCCAAATATCTGAATACGTTCACCTCCTCCATACTCTCTCCCTCCAATCTGATATTCAATCTTTCATCACCTAATCTTTTTGTTATCCTCATAACCTTACTCTTTCCTGTATTCACCTTTAATTTTCTTCTTTTGCACACCCTACCAAATCATCCACCAATCTCTGCAACTTCTCTTCAGAATCTCCCAAGAGCACAGTGTCATCAGCAAAGAGCAGCTGTGACAACTCCCACTTTGTGTGTGATTCGTTTCTTTTAACTCCACGCCTCTTCCCAAGACCCTCGCTTTCTCTTTTAAACCCCATCTATAAAAAATTTTAAAAAAACCCACGGGACATCACCACCCTTGCAAGGGCCTACTTTTACTGGGAAAAAATTTCCCTCTTTCCTACATACCTAACTTGAGCCTCATATCCTCGAAAAAACTCTTAAATGCTTTCAGTAACCTACCTCCTACACAACATTTGCAAATTGCCCATTGCCCCCCTACCACCCTTCATACCCCTTTTTTTTCCAAATCCAAAATGCCACAAAGCCCCTTTTTAAAGCCTTTTCTAAATATGTTCCTTATATGTTCCTGTAAACACCGGCCACCACCCCCTACCTTTCCTAAAGCCTCCTTGTTACTCTATCTTTCTCCGTCTTACTCTTAATTTTTTTCAATTTAAAACCCACCAACACTTACCAGGTACACTCAAGAGACTTTTCCCCCCTTTAATTTTTGCACTCTCTTTTTTCCCCTTTCCCTTTTTCAAAGGAACATGCACTCTCTGCCATCCCCAGGTACCTTACCCCTTCCATACATTTATTAAAAAATTGCACCCAAACCCCCCAAAACTATATCCCCAAAACCCGCTTTTAAAAATTTTAAAACTTTTTCCCCCCTCAAACCGGGTGCCTTACCCCCCTTTTATTTTACCTACGCCTAGAACTTCCCCCACACTCACAAAAAGGGTCTTCCCACTCCTACAAGATGTTATTCCTCCTTGCCCCAAACACGAAACACAGTTCCTATCTTTTCAAAAATTTTAAAAATTCCTCAAAATTTTCCTTCCATCTTTCCCCAAAACCTCAAAAATCTCCTTTAATAACTCTCCTCTCCTTTTTTAACTGACAAAACCATCTGTTCTCTAGGCTTTTTAAAATTGTTAATCTCACCCAAAACTTTTTCTTATTTTCAACAAAATTTGTTGATAACATCTCACCCACTTCTCATTTGCTCTCTTTTTACATTGCTTCACCACTCTCTTAACTTCTCTCTTTTTCTCCATATACTCTTCCCTCCCTTGCATCACTTCTACTTTGTAAAAATTTCTCATATGCTAACTTTTCTCCCTTACTATCTCTTTACATCATCATTCCACCAATCGCTCCTCTTCCCTCCCGCCCCCACTTTCCTGTATCCACAAACTTCTGCTGAACACTCAAACATACATTTTAAACCTACCCCATACCTCTTCGACCCCATTCCCTATGCTCTCATTAGCCCATCTATCCTCCATAGCTGTTTATATCTTACCCTAACTGCCCCCTCTTTTAGTTTATAAACCTTCACCTCTCCTTCCCTGATGCTTCTATTCTCCTTGTATCCCATCTACCTTTTACCTCTCATGTGAGCTACAACTAGAAAATGATCTGATATATCTGTGGCCCCTCTAAACATGTACATCCTGAGTCTACTCAACAGTCTTTTATCTACCAATACATAATCCAACAAACTACAGTCATTTCGCCCTACATCATATCGTGTATACTTTATTTATCCTCTTTTCTTAAAAAATGTATTACCTATAACTAAACCCCTTTCTATTTCAAAATTCAATCAAAGGGCTCCCATTATCATTTACACCTGGCACCCCAAAACTTACCTACCACACCCTCTCTAAAAGTTTCTCCTACTTTAGCATTCAAGTCCCCCCACCACAATACTCTCTCACTTGGTTCAAAGGCTCCATACATTCACTTAACATCTCCCAAAATCTCTCTCTCTTCTCTGCATTCCTCTCTTCTCCAGGTGCATACACGCTTATTATGACCCACTTCTCGCATCCAACCTTTACTTTAATCCACATAATTCTTGAATTTACACATTCATATTCTCTTTTCTCCTTCCATAACTGATCATTTAACATTACTGCTACCCCTTTCCCTTTGCTCTAACTCTCTCAGATTACTCCAGATTTAACCCCATTTATTTCCCCCACTGAAACTCTCCTACCCCCTTCAGCTTTGTTTCGCTTAGGGCCAGGACATCCAACTTCTTTTCATTCATAACATCAGCAATCATCTGTTTTTGTCATCCGCACTGGCATCCACGCACATTTAAGCAACCCAGTTTTATAAAGTTTTCTTCTTCTCTTTTTTAGTAATTGTATACAGGAAAAGGGGGGTTACTAGCCCATTGCTCCGGCATTTTAGTCGCCTCATACGACACGCAGGGCTTACGGAGGAAAGATTCTTTTCCACTTCCCCATGGACAATGAAGAAATAAAAAAGAACAAGAGCTATTTAGAAAAAGGAGAAAACCTAGATGTATGTATATAATATATGCATGTGCGTGTCTGTGAAGTGTGACCAAAGTGTAAGTGGAGTAGCAAGATATCCCTGTTATCTTAGCGTGTTTATGAGACAGAAAAAGAAACCAGCAATCCCACCATCATGCAAAACAGTTACAGGTTTTTGTTTCACAGTCATCTG